CCCAACGGATCTCTGGCCTCTCTGGTCCAGAACCCACGACGAGACTATCTCCAGCCAAAAAAACAAAAGTTTTATCTCTTTTCTCTCTATCTTTCTGTGTTGGTGCTTAAGCAATGATCTCCCTAAACCTATCTCCTTCCCTTAACCCGGGTCTTCTCCACAAGACCCGGACCCGACAAAACTCGACCCGTCTAGCTTCTCTTCTCTCCACCGGCGATAAACCCTTCATCAATTGCAGATACCCACTAGGGTTTTCACCGATTCGAGATTCAAAACCCTTGCTTTCACTCACCAATCCATCTGGGTTCTCGAGAAGATCCAGATCCATCTCTGCCGTTGGATCATCTGACCCGGATCCAGACATCGATTCCGGTGAACCGGAGAACAAGGAGAATAAGAAAGCGAAGAATCTTCAGCTAGGGATAGTGTTCGGTCTTTGGTATTTCCAGAACATCGTCTTCAACATCTTCAACAAGAAAGCACTCAATGTCTTCCCTTATCCATGGCTTCTCGCTTCGTTTCAGCTCTTTGCAGGTTCTATCTGGATGTTAATCTTATGGTCTTTTAAGCTTTATCCTTGCCCTAAAATCTCCAAACCTTTCATCATCGCTCTTCTTGGACCTGCATTGTTTCACACTGTTGGACACATCTCAGCTTGTGTCTCATTCTCCAAAGTAGCTGTTTCTTTCACACACGTTATCAAATCAGCTGAGCCTGTGTTCTCTGTCATTTTCTCGTCTTTCCTCGGCGATTCGTATCCGTTAGCTGTCTGGTTATCGATTCTCCCGATTGTTATGGGTTGTTCTTTAGCTGCAGTCACTGAAGTATCGTTCAATTTAGGTGGATTATCAGGAGCTATGATCAGTAATGTTGGTTTTGTCTTGAGGAACATTTACTCTAAACGAAGTTTACAGAGTTTTAAAGAGATTGATGGATTGAATCTATACGGTTGTATTAGTATACTTGCTCTGGTTTATCTGTTTCCTGTGGCGATTTTCGTTGAAGGATCACATTGGGTTCAAGGTTACCATAAAGCCATTGCTTCTGTTGGGAAACCATCAACGTTTTACGTTTGGGTTTTGCTCTCTGGTGTCTTCTACCATTTGTATAACCAATCTTCTTATCAGGCGCTCGATGAGATCAGTCCATTGACTTTCTCTGTTGGGAATACGATGAAGAGAGTCGTGGTGATTGTCTCTACGGTTTTGGTGTTTAGGAATCCTGTTAGGCCTCTTAATGCTCTTGGATCAGCCATTGCGATTTTCGGTACCTTCTTGTATTCTCAGGCCACCGCGAAGAAGAAGAAGATTGATGCTGGAAGTGATAAGAAGATCTAAGGGGTTTTAAGGGCAGTTCCAAGGTTTAAAATTAAGC